TCATCTTTGATTGCTCTTCTTCCTCTCTGCCTCCCCAACCCCCGCTCCACATCTTCCTTTCCTATACAATCCATAATGAAATCTTGTGTGACATCTCTCCAGTTTTACCTCAACTAAGTGCAAATCCTCATTACTTTAGGCCTAGATTTTTATTTTCCTACTCTATCACTTCTCACATATCACTTCAACACATACTATGCCTCGAATTGAAGCCTCTCTGATTTCCTAAAATACTTCTTTTAGCAAGCTCTTTCTCAATCCAAAATTTTAAAAACTTCTCTGTTACCTAAAGAGCCAAGTACATTCTTTTCATCCCAGCTCTTAAAGGCATCCACAATCTAATTCCAACTTACATTTTCAACCAGATTTCTTACTACTCTCCACACAAATCTTTATTTCGAATCAAGTTATTTTACGTAATGTTCTCTGAACATGTCATGCATATTTTGCCTTTACCTCCTATACAAGTTCCTTCCTTTTATGCAAAAACAAATCTTGTCTAGATTTGATTCTACCTCCTCTGTGGGCCTTTTTGCTCACTTGTGGCCTCAAATATCTATAACTTTCATTACTTATCTTCCCAATTACATTTTAAGTCCTTAGTGAAAGGAACCTATTTAATATTTTTTCTAAAAGTCTTTTGGACATAGCAATGTACCTTTCACATTTTAAGTATTAATAAATGTTTGTTTGGTGACTGACTAAAGTTCTTTTTGAATACACAACATTTACTAAATGCTTCCATGTAGTTAGCACTCTGTGTGTACTTTTTTTTTAAAAAAAATATTTTTTTATTGGCCCTAGCCAGTTTTCTCAGTAGATAGAGCATTGGCCTGTGGACTGAAGGGTCCCAGGTTCAATTCCAGTCAAGGGCACATGCCTGGGTTGCGGGCTCGGTCCCTAGTGGGGGTAGTGCAGAAGACAGCTGATCAATTATTCCCTCTCATCATTGATGTTTCTACCTTTCTCTCCCCCAATGGGGATCCAGCTTGCAACCTGAGCATGTGCTCTGACCAATAATTAAACCTGAGACTTCTTGGCTCATAGGTCAATGCTCAACCACTGAGCCACAATGATTGGGTTGTGAGTGTGCTGGTTTAATTCTAGGTACTGTTCATCAAAGCATACACTGTCAATTTTTTAAAATATGATTAACTTTGGGGAAATAACTTACAAACAACCAAAGCATGGTAAACAAGTAAACTATGCAAAAATAGAAACTATAGAAATACAGAGAAGGGTAAAAGCAATATTTAATGAAACAGTTTCACAAATAGGATGGAATTTTAACTGGAAGTATAACGATAATAATAGAATACCGTGTTTCCCCGAAAATAAGACATCCTCCGAAAATAAGACCTAGCGCGTGGAATGATAAGATATCCCCTGAAAATAAGACCTAGTGCAACTTTGGGAGAAAAAATTAATATAAGACACTGTCTTATTTTCGGGGAAACAGGGTAATAGCAGTGGTAATAAATAATTATAATAATACCTAAAACTTAAGGTGTGCTTAATGTGCCAGGCGCTGATCTTGAGGACTTTTCATATATTAACTCAATATTCACTACAAACCTAAAGAAAAAAATACTATAATTCTCCTCATTTTTCAGATGAGGAAACTGAAGCCTTGCTCACTTATTCCACATCTAGTAAGCAGTGCAATAGGAAATAGAACTGGGCTTGGTGGGAAAAGTATGGAAAACAAGAATGAAAGTTAAAAGGTGGAAAATAAGCACAGCTGCCATTAGAGTAAAAAGCAGGTTTGAAGTCAATAGCAGAGAAGGCTTACAGAGGGTCTTTAGTCAGAAGACTGAATAAATAGAGCAGGGAATAATAAGAGTATCTTGAAAGCCAGAAAAAGGAACTTAAATTTAATAAGTATAAAGTGGGAAGCTAATGAAAATATGGGGCAAGAGAATACCAACAATAAGGCATAATAAGAGTGATATTTTTATTTTTTGTTAATTCTCATCAGAGTATATTTTTTCTTTTTTTTCTTTTTTCTTTTTTTTTTCTTCTTTTTAGAGAGAGAGAGAGAGAGAGAGAGAGTGGAAGGGAGGGGGAGAGACAGAGAGAGAGAAACATCGATGTGAAAGAGACACACATCGACTGGTTGCCATCTGCACAAACTCAGACCAGGACTGGGGATCAAGCCTGCAACTGAAGTGCATGTCCTTGACTGGAATTGAACCTGGCACTCTTTAGTCCAAAGGTTGACGCTCTAACCACTGAGCAACTGGCTAGAGCTAAAGTGACATTTTTAAAAATATATATTTTATTGATTTTTTTTTACAGAGAGAAATAGAGAGGGACAGGGAGTTAGAAACATGGATGAGAGAGAAACATCCATCAGTTGCCTCTTGCATACCCCTTACTAGGGATATGCCCGCAACCAAGGTACATGCCTTTGACCGGAATCGAACCTGGGACCTTTCAGTCCGCAGGCCGACACTCTATCTACTGAGCCAAACTGGTTTCGGCGACATTTTTATTAAAGATAACTAGAAGGAAAAGATGCTGGATTCAGAAATGTTGCTATGACTTTCAGTATTTTAGGCTGAGGAAATGAGTCCTGGGATTTAGGTGGTAAAATGAGGGAAGTAGAGACAGAGGGACAAAAGAAATATGGACAGGAAATGGTGGATTGGTTAATATGAAAGAGACAATTTTAAAATGATCCCTAATTTAAATCCTATATAACCAGGAGAGAAGGACATTACTAAGGGATATAAAATAATGATTTTCATTTGAGGAATGTTGAGTATGAGATGATCAATATACTAGAATGGCAAATGGGCAACAAGATTAGTTTTAAAATGAAAGAAATGAGCAGAAGCTATGAAGATACTGAATAGGAAAGGAACTATGTTAAGCCATAACCAGCTGGTAACAGCCTTGTGTCAACAATTATATCAACAGTTTTGGTGGAGAAGGGATCCATTAGTGACCAACATTTTAAAAATGCAGTTTTTCCATTAACTAAACATTTTTTAAATCAGAAAAGCCAACCAAAAGATAAGGCAGAGGTTCTCAAACTTTCTCCATTTAGGGAGTCCTCAGTCTTAGTAATTTTTTTTTTTGCAGGAACCCTAGGCCAAAAGAAATGCTTAAGCAGGTAGGTACTAGGTTCAAACCATGTAAGTATTAATGTCCTTAAAACTTAGGGCTTGTTGGGCACTGTACAACTTCTCAAATCTTAGAATTAAATTGGATATCACATTCTCCTTGCCTGTATCATTAATTTTCATGCAGTATTTGTTTTTTATCACAGTGACATCTAAAAACACAGCTTTGTAAAGACATGACATTGTAGAAAGAAATGTATCAATTTAATGTTGAAACCATGAACTACCTCAAACAAGCCTGAGTTCACTGGTACTGTGAGGCACCTCACTCAGCACACAATCTGGGAACTGGGAGTACAGGGAAGGGGCCTAAAGAGAGACCCAAAAAATGCAATGTGGGAGGAGCAAAAGAAAATTCTTAGCATAATTAACCACAAGAGGGCAGCACAATAGTTGGTAGGGACAGCACAGTGTGGGAGGGGGGTGTCAGGGAGATAAGTACAATCTTTCCATAAAAAGACTATAAAGTTCCTTAACCATTTAAAGACCCAAAAGTCCTTTTTGTCCTTATACTAAAGAGGAAGAATACTGGTCACTGGCAGATCACCTTATGCAGAGTCATTCTGTCCTTGTCTGAGTCTCCTTGGCCTGCCCAGACATGATAGCAGCCAAGACTTTTATAGTTACCAAGCAATGTACTACTTTGCATGCATCATCTTATTCAACCATAAGAAAAATTGAGGCTTAATGAAATTTTAAATAATAAGCAGGATTACACCCAGATCTGACTTCAAAGCCAAAGCGGTTTCCTATTCTGCCACAAAAGCATCCCATCTTTCAGCAATACAGCCAGGTGAAGGTAGAGAAAAGATATCAGTTCCCATTCCATACTTAAGACATCTGTCTCAAATTAAACAATGGTCCTTAAATATCCCCCCTTCTATTCCTTAAATGGCCTCTAAAAAACAACAACAAAAACCCACTATAAACTCCAAACACAGGTCATTCAACTAGAGCAAAAACAAGTATTATATGCATGCTCATATAGTGGGTCTTTCCTATACAGGTGAATACACGTACTACAAAAACAAGTGTTGAACACATCCAGTTTGCAGATATGTTTGTTATACACTAACACATATGCACATATACAAGCAAATGATTCTTGCATTTCAAGTGGTAAAGAGGTGAAGAGGGTGGGGAGAGGGAGACCAAAGGTTGATTATCCATCTTCAAATCTGCTGGGTGTGTGATATGAGAACATTTGCAGTAGCCCAACAACTCAGTAATACAAATCTATTATGAAACCAAAAGCACCTCTCTTATTCCCACTTTTTGTTTCCTTCTCCACATTTCTCCTTCCTACTATGCATGACACACCTTGGCTGCTCCATTCAGAAAAACAAAAAACAAAAACAAAACACACACACACACATGAGTTTCTCCTGTCAGATTAATAACCACCGGAAAGCAAACTGGGTAAATTCAACCGACACAGCAAATTTAGGCAGATAAAACCATCCAGGAAGCACTCAATGTGGCAGCAGAAACCCCAGCAAGAACGGCTAACGTGTTCTCTCCATAGGTATCTCTTAGTGCTAGAAAATGAAGACTCTGGCTGCTTGAAGAGAAGAGAGTAACTGACAATGGTGCAATGTTGTTGTTTTTCTACAAAGCCACGTTATATGTATAAGTCAACAGAGAAAGAAACAATGAATGTTTCTTAAAGGATCCCAGAACAACAACAAACACACGTGTCCCCTCCCCTCCCCCCCCCCCCAACATACCCTCCCGGGCCAAAAAGTTCAGCTCTACAATTTTCAGGGGAGTAAGAAGCCACGAGTCCTGCCACCCGCTCCCCACCTTCCTACACTCCCACTCGGCGGCTGGCCATACCCTCGCCTTCCCAGCAGCCAAGATCCCTTTACCCACCTTGGCGGGGAGGGGAGGAAGGGCCTCTCGTTCTGCAGAAGGAAAACAGTTCACATCTTGTTCCCTTGCCCGCTTCTGAAACCTAAAGAAGAAGAAGAAGTTAGTTACTACCGCAGAAATCCAGAGGAAATACTCGTTCTTCTCTAGGCTGCTTGGGCGTCTAAGAAGATCCGAAAGAGGATAAAAAAAATAAAAATAAATAAAGGGTGGGCGGTGGGGGATCGGGCGCACATGGGTGCAAACAGCAACAGCAAAAGCACTCGGTCGTTTCCCCGCCGAGAGGAAGCTTTTCCTTTGCTGTCAAGTTGGCTGCCACAAGCAGCGGAGAGAGCGCGGACCGGGCGGTGGGGAGGGCGGCGGAGAGCCGAGGGCAGGAACACCCACCCGCGGCACGGACCGGGCGGTGAGGACGCGCCCCCCGACCCCAGGCTGCTCCTACCGGGCGCCTCCGGCCGGCCACGGTCTGCGAAGCCCCCGGAGCGGGCACGGGTTCGGGTCCGAGCATCCGCCAGGCTGGGACCTCCGATCCCTCCCGCGCGGCTGCGGCTCCCACTCACATCCCTCGGCGGCGGCGGCGGCGGCGAGGACCCGGCCTCTCTCTCTCTCCCCCTGGGCTGCGGGCACCGGCTCTCCTCCCAGACGCGCCTCCAAGTCCGGGCCCCACACGACAGAGCAGCTGAGGAGGAGGCGGAGGCGGCGGCGGCGGCGGCGGCAAGAACTCCGGAGCCAGCGGTTCGCCTGCCCAGCGGTCAGCGCCCCGGGAGGCCGTTAGCTGCAGGCGCGGCTGCCCCCTCGGGCTCCTCGGCTTCTACTTCCTCCACCCACGCCAGTCCGCTTCGGCCGCCGGCAGCCGGGAAGCTCGTCACCGCCGCCGCCGCCGCCGCCGTTGTCTCCACCCTCTCCCGGGGCCGCGCAGAGTCTTCAGAACCGCGGGCGACACTGGGATTCAGGGCCTTCTTCGGTCAGGGCGGCCGCCGACGCGCCGCGGTCTGAGGCCGGGCCGGAGCCGGGCGGGGGGCGGGGGCGCGCGCCCGCACTGCGCGTGCGCGGCTCCCGGGGGGCCGAGCGGCTCCGGATGCGCGCGCCGCGAGGCCGACAGGGGCGAGCCTCGCGGGACCGTGGCTTCCCGTGGCGCGCGGAGATTCCGGGGGAGGCCCCTGGGCCCGAGCGGCCGGAGAGGCTGAGCTGGCGGTGGGGGCTCGCGGGGACGGCCCTCCCCGAAATAGGCGTGTGTGTGTGTGTGTGTGTGTCTGTATGTGTGTGTGTCCGCCACCCGCAGTGGAGGCGGCTGGGAATGAGTCAGCCGGACGGGAAGGCGCCCTCTGCGCGCAGCCCCGCACCGCACAGACTTTCCCCGCCCGCGCACGGTTGCTTTTTTTCCTTCTGCCTCAGCTTCCACCTTCCGGGGCTGCAAACCTGTGCTTCCCAGGCTTGGCCTCTGGACCGAGGGGAAGTACAGTGCCGGGGAGGGGGGTTGGCGCTGCGTGCTCAGCCTGGCCGTGTCTTCTCCCCAGTGCAATCCCGAGGGCCTGACCCCCATGCTGGGAAGCAGGGCGGGTGGCAGGGTGCTCCCAGCTGCCTGCAGATTGACCGCGAGGCCTGGGCGATTGAGGAGGAACAGCTTCCACCATCCCAAAGAGCTTCATTCATCCATTCAACACATATTTACAGAGCACCTACTAGGTCCTCCCTTCCCTCCCCCGCCCCCCAGGATGCTATGTGAATACTAATTAACTGCATATTCCTTGTGTGCTGGAGCTAGTATTCTGATACAGTGACTGCTGAGTGAAATAAGCCAGTCAATGAAAGAGAAACACCATATGACCTCACTCATTTATGGATAATAAAGAACATTATAAACTGATGAACCAAAAGATAGATATAGAGACAGTAAAGCAACAAGCAGACTGTCAAATTACAGCGGGGAGGGTAGGGAGATCTGGGGAAGATAAGAGATCTACCGAAGGACTTGTATACCTGCATATAAGTACAACCAACGGACACAAAATTCTGGGGATGGAGGGCATGTATGGGGGGAGGGGCATAAGGGTAGATGTACACAGATAATAATTTAATTTAAAAATTTTCAATTGCCTTAAATGTATAATGTGCAAGTGTATAATTGCCACTAAAAAAATAATAATAATACTGCAAAGTGAAGGAGTAGAAAGTGAACAGTCGGTGTGCTATTGCAGTTGGGCGCCCTCCCAGAGTAACTGACATTTCAGCAGAGATCAGAGGCATGAGAATGGATCAGGCCCATGATTATCTTGGGAAAGCGTTTCAGGCTGAAGGGCTGGCAAAGAGGCAAAGACCCCCAGAAGGGAATGTGATTGGCAAGCAAGGACCAGGAAAGAGGTCACTGTGGCTGGAGGACAGTGAAGGAAGGGGCAGTGGTAAGAGGTGAGGCAAAGAAGTAGCCTTTAAGCAACTGAGTAGGGCCTTTTTCACTTATTATTAGCCCTTTTTCTGTCAAGCTGAAGGAATTGATGCATTTATAGCTCCTGTTTCTCCATACACAAATGATGTTGCCATTCAGGTTTGGCTTGTATTAAATGGTTTCTTTAAATAAACCTCACCACAGCAACTCCTGCATTACTTTTTACATAAGACCCATTGTAAAAGGTCTTTGAACAAATGATAGCAGGATAGAAAATAACTTGAATTCACACTGACTTCTTTAAGTAAATAATGAACAAAGGTCCTGTTTTCTCATAAGAGAAAGAGATTATAGGGGAATTGCATTCCTCTGGTGTAATATTGTGATGTAGACAATATTTGGTGTTTATCATCCACAGCTTCGCAAACCCTTGGAATTTCCTAAGTGTTGTGAGTGATCAAGGTGTCTTTTGTTATATTAATAAGGTGACTTTTGGACCTCAGCCAGGGGTTGGATCTGGTGGCCAAGAGAACCAAACAAATGATTAAAGGTAACTTTGAGTCCCATCTATCCCATTTTGGGATAAGGGAAAGGAGCTGAAAATTAAATTCAAGCGCCAATGGTCAATGACTCAGTCAATCGTGACTGTGTAAGGAAGCCTCCATAAAAACCCAGGAAGACAGCTTTTCCTTTTTCAGAGACCTCTCGTGCTGGAGAACTATACCACTTCCATGTGAGTGCCGCCTTGTAGGTGCGCAAGCTCCACATGGGCAGGAACTCCTTTGTTCAGGACTTTGCCCTAGGTGTTGTAATCTTTAATATCTTTTCTAATAAACCGATACTCTAGTCAGTAAAATGTTTCTCTGAGTTCTGTGAGCCATTCTAGCAAATTAATCAGCCCAAGGAGGGGGTTGTGGGAATCTCTGATATCTAGGTAACAACTTGAACACGAGATTAGGATTCTAAATTGGATGGGTCTTTGGAACCTCCAATCTATAATCAGTTGATCAGAAATACAAATAAGAGCCTGGGCTTGCTGTTGGCATATAAAATATGTGTGCGACCCTAGTCGGTTTGGCCCAGTGTATAGAGCATCTTTTGGCCTGTGGACTCAAGGGTCCCAGGTTCAATTCCAGTCAAGGGCATGCTGCTGATTGATGTTTCTCTCTCATCGATGTTTCTAACTCTCCCTCTCCCTTCCTCTCTGTAAAAAAAAATCAATAAAATATATTTTAAAAAAATAAAGAAAGAAATGAAGTGTGGATGTCAAACCAAGATGGCAGCATAGGTAAGCACCTGAATTTGCTGCCTCGCCCAACCACTTCAAAATTACAACTAAAAGACAAAACAGATATCATCCAGAACCACATGAAGGTTGGCTAAGTGAATTTATACAACTAGAAGGAAAGAGAAAAGAGCACTGAGACTGGGAGGAGGTGCAGAGGTGCAGAAATGAAGTGTGGAGGCACAGAGGTGTGTGCAGAAAAAGGGCTGGCAACAGGATACACTGTTGCGTATCTTTTTTAGTCGGGAGGGAGATACAAGCCCCCCAGGGAGACTCTGGGGACCCAGAATCATAGGAAGAGAAACTGAACTGTCTGGTAACAGGCCGGAACACAGGGGTGTTTTTCTCTCAGACGTGTTTGCAGTGAGCATTGTTCCTGCATGGTGCCACAGGACACAGAGACCCAGGGGCTTCTTCGGGGCAGGGCTGATGGTCAGCCATTGCTATTTGCTCTGTCCAAACGATTCCCTGAAACCCCAGCCCACCCAGTTTACAACCCCACCCAAGCTGTGCACAGAGGCTTCTGCATATTAATTACCTGGCTTTTTGCAATCTAAAACCTAACAAACTGCATCTGGGTCAGAGAGCCCCAGAGCTTCCAAAAGAAGGCCCAAGACTGGACAGCAGCTTGCAGTGCTTCACAACTAGGCCTCATCTGGGCACCTCCAAACCCCAAAGAGAAGGAATTTGTAGATTTCTCTGTAGTTCCTGCTGGGTGGCCTCAGAGAGTGGCTGACTTTGCACCTCCTTGGAGATCCAAGAGCCAGAGTATCCAGTGGTCAGAGTGAGACCATCCAGATTACAACTCTTCACATCCATAAGAGACATACTCAGGGCAGATTCAGTGAGCGCAAATGCCGCACTGAAGCAAGTCTTGTCCCATAAGGGTGTATCCAGCACAGCAGTTCTCCCATTGTAGACACAACTGATCCTTGCAGGCCTGGAAGTCAATTCCTCCCAATGATACCAACAACAATCAAGGTTTAACTACAACAAGACTGTGCACACAGCCCACAAAAGGGTGCACCAAGAGTGTTCACTTCAGATAATTAGGGAGGCTGAGCCACTGGGCCCTATAGGACACCTAACACACAAAGCCACTCTATCAACACAGGGAAGCAGCCAAAATGTGGAGACAAAGAAACAAGTCACAAATGAAATAAGTGGAGGAAAGCAAACTACTGGATATAGAGTTCAAAACCATGGTTATAAGGTTACTCAAGAATCTTCTAGAAATCTTCGAGAAATTTAGTGAGACCCTCAAGGATATGAAAAAGGACCAATCAGAAATTAAGCATACACTGACTGAAATAAAGAATAATATACAAAGATCCAACAGCAGATTAGAAGATCCTAAGAATCAAGCCAAAGATTTGAAATACAAAGAAGCAAAAAACACCCAATCGGAAAAGAAAAAAAGAATAAAAAAATATGAAGATAAGGAGCCTCTGGGACAACTTCAAACATACCAACATCCAAATTATAGGAGTGCCAGAAGAAGAGAGAGAGCAAGATACTGAAAACCTATTTGAAGTTCATGTTCTTTATTGATTTCAGAAAGGAAGAGAAAAGGAGAGATAGAAACATCAATGATGACAGAAAACTACTGATCAAGCCCATAACTCAGGCATGTGCCCCGACCAGAACTGAACACAGGACCCTTCAGTCCACAGTTCGACACTCTATCCACTAGAACACAGGCTCACACAAAAGAAGATAAAGTGCTGAATGTGGCTTTAATGTCAGGGTCTAAAAAATGAAAAGTATCTGAGCTGTGGAAAAAAAAAAATTCTCTTTTCTGAGAAAAAAAAAAGTCTGTTTTAAAACTCTGGAACAGTGC